GTCATGGCGCAGTCAAGAAGACCGAAGGGGGTAGAGAACACAAGTGGCTGACGCGGCCGGAGCCGCCCCTAGGAGTGCCGTCAGACCCTGCTCGGATTCGACGGAGTGGAATTGACATAAAAGACATTAAAAGGAGCCATGGAAACCTGACTCGTAGACCACCAGCCGGCCGCTCCACACAACACTAGGCTGACTGCGAGGTCCCACTTATCCCGTCTGTTAGCAACCTTCCAAGTCACAGCTTCTAGCGAACCGTGATAGCTTCAAGCGCGTCAGATTGTTTATGGTGAGGAAAATGCACCGAGTCGTCGACCTCACTCTCCCTATCGCCCCAGTCATTGTCCGAGCATGGGTGCATGGGGACGGAACCGAGACGCACGCTTCCCACTTGCATAGGAGGTGGCAATAGGATGCTTGTGGTGGATGATGATGATGATATTGCGTGGTGTAGGTGGAGTAAGATGTGATGGTGCGGTTTAGCCGGCAATTGTCTGCCGCAGGTTTTCGTGAATGCACATGTGGCCTAATTGGGCCATGCAGTGGATGAATGTGTGGGTGCAGCGAGGGCAGCTGAGGCGGATACGGCGAGCGTATGTGGGCGCTTCATGCACTGGTTCGCTAGTCTCTGTGCGATGGATCCGCAAGTGACCGACCAGGCCGATGTGTGCGGTAAATGTGGGAGGTGAGTGTGGACAGGAAATTTCGGCGGTGTCAGTGTTGGTTTCGGAGATGTTGACAGTGGTGGAGATGCTGGTGGTGGACAGGCTGGGCGACGGTGTGTGCGTTGGGCTAGGCATGGTGGGTGCGCAAGATGTGCTGGCTGCGGCGGATTTGATGGTGGTGGGCATGCTGGCCGGTGGGGTGCGGATTGAGCAGGGCATGGTTGATGTGCACGAGGTGCCAGGTGTGTCGAGACTGCGGTCTATTCCGCCCTCGCGGATACGCATGTGACTGAAAAGACCTATGTGGGGAGTGAATGTGCGGGGACAGTGGAGACGAAAGCGGCGAGTGTAGATTGATGCTCCAGGCACTGGTTCTCCGGTCTTTGGGGGACGGATTCGCAGGTGACTGACCAGGCCGATATGTGAGGTGAAGGCGCGCTTGCAATGATGAAAGGTATGAATCGAGTCCACATTGCTGACATTGTTGGTAGGGGAGGAGGGGGGGGGGGTGGTTGATGCTCGTTGGTATGTCAGGATTGTGTGCAGCGGTGGTGGGTACAGGAGCCGCCGTAGCGGATGTCGAAGCAATGGAGGAGGAGGAGGATGGTGGTGGGGATTCTGGAGCGCCGTCAGTGTCAGTTGTCGGCGTGGGTGCGGAGACAGCAGCTGGTGTAGTCCGGGCGCTGCAGTTGGTACGAGGATGTCCTACAAGGCCGATTAGCGCCCGGAATGTCCGCTGACAGCGTGGGCAGGTCGGGGATGGTTGAGCGTTGGTGTTGCGAGGTGGGCGCATTTGAGATTTGCGAACCTCGCGTTTGGTTTTGGCCGCGATGATGCGGTTGGCTTTGTAGATCGTTGTGCCTGTCTTCAGTGTTGTCCTCCAGGTCGGCCGTTCTCGGTCGAGATCTTCCCAGTTGGCCGGGCTGACCTGCAGACGCATCAAGAAAGTCTTCAGAGTGTCCTTACAGCGGCGGGCTTGGCCTCCTTGTGTTTTTTCGCAGCGGTCGTGAGCTACCTTATTTGACAAGAAGTCGATGTATTTCAATTGAGGACTCATTTTTAAGCAAAAGTCGGCGAGGGCCTCCTGATTACGTTTTACCTTCATGCGCTTAGTCTGTCGTAAACAATCATATAAGAGGACTGGTCGAACGGATGGCATGTATACGTTGATCGTGGTGACTATGGGGATACAGCACAGTAGATGTGCTAACTCATGAAATGTTATCCGAAATTCTGAAATGCGTTTCCGACCTCAGACGACTACTTAAGTAGAGTTGTGATATTAATCGTCTCGCAGCATAATCCCAAGATGATTCAGTTACGTCAGGGTGCCGGCTTTTGAACGAACTTCTTTCTGGCCTCCTGCAGAAACTACGCTCGATATAAACGACTATTCAAGCAGTATGAATTTTCTCGTTTATTTTCGAAACCCCGACAAGTTCAAACGCATTTCATAGAAAGCATGCATAAAATATTCATTATTTTACTCATTTGGTAGGAAATTACGTCCTCTCTAAATTTTATACTTGACAGAAGGATATAATTCGATTTTAAAAAAACTGTTCCGATTCCCGAAAAATTTTGAACCCGACCTGTCATTACACTTGCATTCGGGGTTTCCAAACTATAAGCTGTATATTTTCCGTGCACGGAAAATCATGCATTGATATTCGTTATAAAGAGGGGTCCATAAAATTAGGCGGTGGAGTTGAGCCATATTGTAAACTTTACAAGCAACGTTAGTAAGTGTAGAGACACGACGTTTTATGTACGGGCATTTCACAGCCTTAAAAAATCTCATAATTAGAAACTTTTTTGAAACCGAAATATACGCTAGCATCAAGTATAAAATTTGAAGAAGACGTAATATTCTACCAAATGCGTAAAATAATGAGTGAATGAAATGGATATTTTTTTGCACGTTTTCTATGAAACATATTTGAATTTATGAGGGCATTGAAAACCAATGGGAAAAATTCATACTACTTAAGTATTCGTTTTTGCGGAGTGTAGTTTTTGCAAGTGAGTGGAAAGAAGTTTGTTCAAAAGTCGGCATCCTGAAGTAACTGAATTATCTTGGGAGTATGCTAAACGGTAATTAATATTGCATCCCTACTTTAGTAATGTTTTGGAGTCGGAAGCGCATTTCGGAATTTCAGATAACATTTCATGAGTTAGAACATCTACTGTAATGTCTTCGGAGACTTTAGGCTGAAATTTGGCGTTAATATTTGGCCGACGTTCATCAGCCACAGTGGAATAACCGCGTAATATTCATAAACTGCAGCCAGTAGTTTCTACATAGGTAGCTCGGTATGCCGTACTTGACAGCTCAGGTACCAGCTAGAAGTCCAGACGCTTGTTTTGTCGATATGATCAGAGGCATCTAATCATTAAAAAACTAAATGTAACACCTACCGTTGCTTTGTGTGTGAGTTTTCTGGGAGTGACGAGCCCCTTTAGATGAGGCTTATAAGGTTCCTTCGTGTGTTCGTTTATTTCCCATCCAGCGCGCTGATCACCTTGATGCGCAGAGGCAACGAACTTTCCCTCTTCACTGCAAATTACAATGTCTCACTTGCCTCCCCATGTATTTCACTCCACTGTAAACAGTTGCTAACTTTCCTAGACCTTACACATTTGTCGTTTTTCTCACTCCTTGTCATTTAGACCGCTGATATGCTGTTTCCCTCCATTCCCTCTGATGCACACGATTTGGGTGGGGAGCATAGATGTTCCATCTTTATCATATGTTAGTAGCTGGATCGGCGTGCCTTACGGCATATTCGTTTTACTGATCTCCGGCGAGTTATATTTCACCTCCGTCTATTTTAATGCTGCATAGTCAACCTCCGTGCAGAATTTCTTTTTACACCCCTTTTTCCAGCTGTTATTTACTTTTTTAGATTTGATTTCGGTGCTGGCGGCAGGATCCCTTTAGACAATGGGGGTATAGTCAGCTTTCGGAATCTTTGGAACCGCGCCTTGTCCCTTTGACCTTGCATGTGTATGGACCCAAACTCATCGCAATTTGTCTAACTTGAGTGGGATAACTACAAGCGCCTAACCTCAACTTGGTCTTCTGATTAGTCACTTTTTTGATGCAAACTCTAAAGCTTCTGCCTAATGTAGTGCTATCCCCCTCCTCAATTTCGTCTGCAGGGTCGCCTCCCCTCCAACGGTCACTGCCGAGCCGTCCACTTTCTCTGGAAGCAGCCCCACACGCATGAGCCAGACTGAGGAGACTGTGAAACCTCAACTGCCTCCGCCACAATCGCCATCTTGCCAAGATCGACCTATTCCTCAGCGCCGACACATCTCTCCCGTCGACCGCCGGAAGCTCAGTCCACGAAGTAGGACCGCGCAGAACATGGCAACCCCTGCTAGCGGTCAGAGTAAGTTTTATGTCTTTTATCTCTCATCCTCCCAAACACTTACTTTTCTGTTCATCTGTCATTGAGTGTTTCGCCAGAATCTCCATAATACAAATTCATGCCAGCTAAATTGCATCTGTTGAATTACATCGATACTGCGCCTCGCCTCCCCCTACTATCTTGTCAAATTCGCCATTTTCGCGCAAGTGTACTCAGGGACAAAATCCGTCTCCATTCCTCTTTGCTCACTCCTCCCCGTAACCTTTGAAAGCAGCCGTCGAGTGTGACTTCTGCTTAACTCAAATGGGTCTATCCATCTAATTCTGCGACGTGAGTGACAATCGGATGGTAGTGAGGAGTCGCGCGGGCCCCAGAACGGAGTGGGCTATTGTAACAGGCACAAACGGGGCCGTACAGGCGTTTGCCACGCCGTTAACGGCGATTTTGCGTCACGTTTATAAGTGTAACTCCCCATAGGTTCATCGCGGGAGAGGAGTGGAGGTGTAGAGCTGGCCTGATCTGTATCCACAACACACTTACCCATCGCTAGCCGTCACAGCCGCCCTTGTCCACGTCGGTATTTATTTCAAATGGTCATGCCGCACAAACCTCACTTCAATAAAAACCCTGAACGGGAGCTGGACGTTTATAAAGATGTCGAGACTATATTCTTCGACCTCAGCAAGGCCTTTGCTCACGGTTACTGTTCACTCCGACGTCTTACGAATGTGGTTTAATTGGGAACGCAGGCAACTGGGTTATCCGTTGTCTGGGCCAAGGGCTCTTCTTCCTCAGTGTCCGAGAAAGCTCAGTGAAGAACCTAACTCATAAAATATGCTTAAATTCTCGAAACATCCCCAGCCACTCGGAGACCGGCGCGGATATATCGACTACAGCCCCCAGTTAGTGTGATATGCTGTATAGGCGTTAGTCAATCGTTTGATGTTTGATTATGCGTTTAAAAATGGTTTTGCGAGGAGTCGATACATTTTTTCCGTTCTGGCACTGTTCAAAATGCGAAGAGGAGTTGGCATAGTTTAGCGACTAGAAGACGCATGAGGAATAAAAAGTTTCATAACTTTACATATCCGAGGCCTGTTACTGTCTAAGAAATTGGAATGTGGTTATCACTATCTATGTATCAAGAGAATATCCCCTCCGTAAAAGTATTGTGCGGTTTTTGAGGATGGTGCAGTCCGATGATTTTGAAATACCAGTAAATGCCTTTCGGTCATCAGTTTTCTCAGTAGGCTGTCCAAAGTGGCAGGTTCTGTAGCTTGTGTGCTTATCAAAACGTGAAAAGTATGACGGATCTTTGAGGCTTCTTCTCAATTACCGAGTTCGTAGACGCTCTTTTCGTGCAGGTGGCGGATCTGGTCATATTTTTGGACTCACTCAAGCATGAACTCTAATTGTTGAATAGATTGGAATTTCATAACGAGGGCCTGCGGTGGGTGTGTTATTTCTTACTCGAAAACCTCTTTAAAAGACCTTTAATGGGGTATTTCGCCACAAATGCTTATTTACTTTACTTTTCTTCAAGCTAAGGCCAGAGAAAAAAATTCTCTAATTTTGCCCAGTCTAGCACCTCTTTGGGAGATACGTGTGACCTTTCTAACCCATGCCAAAAAACTCCACTCCTCTTCATAAACAAAACCATTTTCTTTATATTCGCCTACTTCTAGGTCCTCGTATATGATTATAAATACTCTGCAAAGGGGTTATTGATTACCAAAATATTTGGGGGGGGGCACTCACGGATCGCGTTACGTAACTTGCTCGACTCTTTGTGCCTTGGGGCTCTCTCACTCTAGCCCCGCCAGCAGCCGCACTGCGACGCGTAATATAGACAGAATAGCGTTAAAGACAGTAGTGCTATTCTGACTAAAATATTTATCGAACGATTAGTGTTGTGCCCTTTCCGTCTCTAAATTAAGTATTTGCATAAAATAGACGGCACGACAATCATCTTACTATATGCCCAAAAAATAGAATGGCTGCTTGTTATCAGACCTTTTCGCAATCGGTCATATCATATTTGTCTATGCCTAAGTATTAAGCGTGTTTTAGGGCAAAATATTGCCTGTTGATGTTATTACTGCCTTAAGTGTACTAAGGTACGCATATTTACCAATCTAACGTCTTGCCTACAGGACCGTTTTACGAGAATAATATGGTTTTACACGTCGTTCCTACCTCGACTTAGGCGTAAGGAAATAGGCGGCTCCCAAGTTGACGACGGGGGTTCCGACTAATGGCTTCTTCTAGAGAAACTCGCACTTATGTGCCGATGAGGTCTACGGCGGCCGCTAACAGATAATTGCCTGAATACGAGATAACGTTCATTTCCGCCCAAAATGGCAAACAATTAGAACAATGTTCTTTATGAATGTGTTAAGCCAATAAGTGAAGTATACAACGCTTGTTCTACCCCGAACTGGTCGTCTTGATTCCATCCAACACTTTTCACCAGTTACGTACATCATCCGAGCTGCCGACGCATACACTGCTGTCCAGGGGTTTGTGCTAGTACCGTCTCTGTTTCTGTAATCTGTTTGGTGTTCGT